CTGCTGAGTCTTTTGCACTTCCCCTCCCCCCACCCCAGCCCTATTTTTCATTCTCAGTCCTGGCTTTGTTACCTTTATCCTCTGCGAACCTGAAGTGTCCAGCCTCTGGCCTCTCTCCATCCTAAGTCCTCACAAGGCTAGAGAGCTGGGGTAAAAATCTTGCTGCAATTCTTGGATAAATAAACCAGCATCAGAGGACCAGCTGTGTCATGTGGATGACAAAAGACTCGCTTTGTGGATTCCGACTATTCCCACAGGCCCCCAACCTGGTGGCTGGTGGGGCCCAGGTGAAGGGAGTTCTCTTTCTTCCCCCATTGGGAGAGTAGTGACATCCTGGGTGACACCAGGACAGAGGCTGCCCTGGACCTGGAGCAGGGCCCAAGGCTTTTTGTAGATAAGGGAAGTAGATCCCTGGCCTTGGACTGTTCAGGCCTAACCTTGAGCCCTACCTGTGACCCCAACATGACCAGCAAACAACAAGATTCACATACCACATGACACGCCTGACCCACCACTGACCAGAAGCCTTCATCTTCCTGACCTGGATGTCACACTCTAACCCTGGGGTTGCTCCAGAAAGGCCCAAATACTGGGCACTGTATCCCTGGCTTCAGGGAGGCCTGCCCAGCCTTGGGGAATCAAGCCCGATGCCTCTTGGGAAGAAGGTTTCATGGCAAAGGGCTGTGTAAATCCCAACGTGAAGTGTTTCTCAGCGTGATCTGGGGTGCAGAGGGTTATACAAGGTTGGGTCCACGTGGTGAGATGCAGGCCCAGTGACAAGGAGAAGTGAGAGCAAACGTGATGTAAAGTGTGCTCTCTGCACCAGCAAGCTTGTTTCCATGAGAATGTGCCCTCCAAGTGGGTGGGAGTCAGTCTCACCAACACCTCGCTACAGCAAATGGTAGATGCTCAATGCCTAGTTGCATAATTCGTCCATGAGAATAATCCCTGAATTGTCCAATAGAAATATAATGAGACCTGCATATGTAATTCTAAATTTTTAATAACCATATTACAATAATTTGGAAAAATGAAATTATTTTTAGTAACATATTTCATTTAATCTAATATAGCCAAAATGACATCATTGTTTGACATATAATTAACATTTACAAATATCAAAGAGATATTAATATTTTACATTCTTATATTCATGTTAAATCTGCAATGTCCAGTGTGTATTTTACACTATAGTACACCACTAGCTGCATTTCAAGTGCTCAATAGCCTCACTTGGCAGCTAGTGGTTTCCACATTGGCCACTGCTCATCTAGATTCTTTGTTCCTCTAGATCAAAGGTACAGGCAATTGCCCAAAGATTTGTGCAATGCCTCCAGGCAACGGGATGCCATGGGATGAGACACTACTATGAAAGTGATGTTTGGGGAGTCTATCCAGTCAAATACATTCCCACCCAAGGACTGTTTCTTAAGCAACTACTCACTACTCAATTTTGACGTGGCCTTCACCAAGGATAGAGGAAGCCCTTGCTCTCCTAAACTCTAAGCCCACCTGACCTGGCCGACACTGACACTAGACTTTCTCACCCAGTACTTACTACACAGAGGACAGAAGTGGCAATGAACAGCTTTTTTTCTATGGTCTGTAATTATCATTGCATTGTCCCTTTAAAAAACAAAAAAACAACAAACTGCATTTTTAAATATTTTCATCTATTAGGCACCTTTCTGTGTTTCACCTGAACATGCTGCTTCCACATACACCACAATCTCATTTAATCCTTTCGGCAATTCCGATTTAGGCGTTTTTATTCCCTTTATTCCAATGAGGAAAGTAAGGCTTAGAGCCTTGGGGGATGAAAAGAACATTTGTAACGAAGTACCACCCATTTCTTCCTCAGTGAGGTCCCCTATGGGAACTGTGAGAAATGTTGTGCAATGAGCACTTCAAACCCTAGAAGGCCTGCAGTCAAAGCAAATGAAATATCCTGGTGCCATCTAAAACCCAGAACAAGCCCTGGAGTCCAAAACCTGAGTCAGCCCCTGGTTGTGACACTTACCAGCTGTGTAGTGTGGGGCAGGGTAATTCATAGTGATAAAAATAATTAGCATTTACTGACCTTCTCCCACGTTCCAGGCTCTGACCTCACCAATTGCTCATATACTTTCTCTTCCTCACAAAAAATAAATCTTTCATAGATTGGGAAACTGAGGTTCAAAAAAGCAAATTGCCAAAAGTCATACATTCAGTAATGATATTATCCAGAATGATATTATTAAAGGTATTAATGTTTGTTTTATAACGTAACCTTAACTCCACATACCCCACTGCATATTTACAAAAAATATTGCTAAAGAATTTAAATACCCTCAGTGTACACAGTAAACAATGGTAAATACCTGGTACAAATTTAAAGTTTGTGAAGCATATAAAAATAGGAATTAATTTTAATGTGCTTTTTAAAATACAAAAATAAAGCCTTTATTATTGATTTGTGGTGTGTAGTAACTCGTCAAAACAATGAAAAAAAACCTTGGGCTTTCAAAAGAGATAATTATATTTACACTGTTGATCTCCAGGGGCTGTTGTAATCATCCAAGGAGAAGGAAAAGTAAAGATGCTTTGAAAATGTAAAGAGGTGACAAATGTCAGATATTACAAACATATTAAAGAAAACTAGTTATATGCTAATATGAAATGTATATAAGATACATTTCCTAACCTTCATTACAAGTCTGCAACTTGAAAAAAAGAGCAAAAAGTATATTACTACAAAGAAATGGAGGAAAAATGAAATGAAAAATAAATGACAAAACAAAAATAAAAGAAAATAGCTGATTTTCTCAGAAAGAATAGGAGGGAAGAAAGGAGGAGGGAGGGAGGGGAGAAAGAGAGGGAATGAGGGAGGGAGGAGAAGAGAGAGAAAGTAGAAAGGGAGGAGGAGGCAAGTGCTATGAAAAATAAGCCCGAATTGTTGGGGCCAGGCAGTTCCTTCAAGAAAAAAAGAAACTGGCCGTGACCCCCTTAGAGTTAAGGCTGGGTACAGTTTTTGCGACTGTTTAGAGAAATCTAGCGCCCTCCCCACCATTAATCTTTTCTAAAGAAAGACTTTGTTCTGCACCTGTATAAACAATTCAGATTTTAAAAACCTATATGCCTGCCCCTAATGTGTGAGACTATGTATTTATACTGATAGCTTCAAGTCATCAATAGGCGATGCAAAAAGCTAGCCTGGGACCTCCCCGTTACATCGTTTTTTGCTCCCCCTTGTCTCTCTTTCCTCCTTTGCCTGGCAAAGCACTCCTAGAGTCAAGTTCAAGTTCAAGTGCTCCAAGAATGATTTCCACGCTCTGTCTGAAATATTCCCTGCATTTCCTCAGCCTGGAGAGAACTGAGAGCAAGCAACTTTCTACTTAGCTTGTCCCAGAAGGAGCCCGTCCCCACCCCCCAACAAAAGACAAAATGTGCAGAGAGGAAACCTTTGCAAATGGGGGCGAGCGGGAGGGGCTGTGTGAAACATCCCCCATGAGGGAGGCACGGCCTGGGAGATGAAGGTGGAATGATGCCTGAGTGATGAAGTCAGTCCCCGGCCAGCCACCTGTTGCAGCACTTCAGGCACTGAGCAGGGCAGGGCGCATTTGTTCTGCTGCAGGAACCGGCGGAGCGAGGCGGACCCAGCGGCTTCTGCCAGCTCTGCCCTGGACTGACTGCACATTGGTCCCCTTGCACCTCGCTCAGCTTGGGAGCCTGTGGACTTTCATGGAAAGGTCTAGGGAACACCTAAGCCAGCTGGCGTGAAGACTCAGTTTCCTCACTGTAAAACGGAACAACCAACCCCAACGTCATAGGGGTTTTATTATTCAGTAAACTATTCACAAGTACAGTGACTGCCGCACAGCGGGAGCTCAGTCGCTGGCCTTTGGTGTCGTTTCCATAACAAAGCACTCGTCCCCTGACCACAAATGGCAAGGGCCTTCAAGTTAGGAAAAGATGAGACCGCAATTTTGTTTTGTTTCCTTTGGGGGAGGGACCAGCGTGTTTTATTTTTTGGTTGGCATGGGACATGATAATTCTGGATGTTTTTTTTTTTCTTTTAAACTTTGGACGATTGTGCTAACTTAGCATTCTGCAGCCAGAAGCTTCCTCTTCCATTCACAATCTAAAACAGCAATGGACTCCCTACACTATCACTCAAAGCGTTAGGCAGGATCCCATCGTGGTGATAGAAACAAAACCACGAACTCTCAACATAGTGGAAAATGCCAGATACAAAATCCTGTGGCGTGTGTGGCCGGGAGGCATGTGGCAGACTAGAACACTGACGGGCCGGGATTTCTAAACACAGATTTGGAATCCTCTTTCTACTCACCAGCCTGGTGCCTTTGGGTCCTTTACTTAACATCTATCTACAAGGCTCAGCGTCAAATTCTGCAAAGTGGAAATAATATTTAAGTTACAGATGTTACTTGACGGTGAAACGAAGTATTGTAGACAAAGTGCTTTAAAATTACAAAGCTGTATTAAAGGAAAAGAAGGAGGAAAATGAGAGGTGACTGTTGGGCATTGTTGGGCATGTGCTTGTTTTGCTTTTTCTCTTCTGTCGGGCAAGCCTTGGACAATCACACATTATGAGTGATGAACTGAGTTCTGCCCAGAAGACTGGGAGAGAAGCGGAGGTCGGGATCCGGGCGTCGCTATGAGTCTGGCAATTTTTGCCACTGCTAAGATGAGGGGGTGGAAGTAGGGTGGGTAAGAACAAGGTCTTCCCCCTCACTCCCTCAACGCACACTTATCCTGCGCTGACGTCATGAAGGTCGGTCGGGCCTGGGGCCCAAATCTCGGTTCGGCAGAGACGTCCCCTTCCCCTGCCCCCACCAACCGCTCCTCTGCACGCAGAAAAGCGGTCCCCACCCCTTCCACGCCCCTGCCCCACCTCTTGCCCCCCTTTCTAACCCCCTCTTCTTTGCCCGGGGTGGTTTGTTCCAAGGAGTACAGATAGTCTTGTCAGAAGGCGCAGCTTACGGCTGTGCGCTCAGAGCTGGGACTTGGGCGCCAACTTCTGGTCCGCGCTCTGCGGGGTCAGTGGCGGGGCGCGTTCGCTCTCACCGCCCACCTCGAGTTCGCGCCTCCGCGCCTCTGGACTCAGGTCTGCAGTCCTCCTCGGAGCTTTCCCTTCCCTCCGCCTCCGCCAAGGAGCGGAAGGCGGAAACGGCGAGACTGGCCAGGGGGAGGAAAGCGGGCGCGCGTGGGCGCAGGGAACCAGGAGATGTCCACGGGTTCGGTGAGCGACCCGGAGGAGATGGAGCTGCGGGGGCTGCAGCGGGAGTACCCCGTCCCCGCCTCCAAGAGGCCGCCCCTCCGCGGCACCGAGTGCAGCTACGCCTCGCCCAGTGACAACTCGTCTGCGGAGGAGGAGGACCCCGACGGCGAGGAGGAGCAGTGCGCTCTGGGCGCAGCGGGCGGCGCGGGAGGCTGCAAGAGGAAGCGGCCCCGTGCGGCTGGGTGCGGCGGCGCAGGTGGCGGCGCAGGCGGTGGTGGCAAGAAGCCCCTCCCGCCCAAGGGCTCGGCCGCCGAGTGCAAGCAGTCCCAGCGGAACGCGGCCAACGCCCGCGAGCGCGCCCGGATGCGCGTCCTGAGCAAAGCCTTCTCCAGACTCAAGACCAGCCTGCCCTGGGTGCCCCCCGACACCAAACTCTCCAAGCTGGATACGCTCCGGCTGGCCTCCAGTTACATCGCGCACCTGCGGCAGCTGTTGCAGGAGGACCGCTACGAGAACGGCTACGTGCACCCGGTGAACCTGGTAGGGGCGCGGCGCGAAGGACCCCGGCGAGCGCCAGGAGTTGCCCAGGGCGCTCCTGGGCTCCGGGCATCGTCAGCCCGCTGGGAATGATCCGACAGGGATGGGGGTTCTGGGACGCGAGAAGGCCATTTTACTTTTGCCCAAATCAAGGGAGGGGCCAGCCATTTTCCTGGAGAAGAATCATCCACCCTTCTGTGTTTGCATCATTCTGATCGTTGTACACGGTGCTTCGCCCAGTGACAGCCATCGGCTAATATCCTACTTCCGGGGCAAATCTTGGTTCCAACTGAATCTACTACCCGGTTGCAGATTGGCAAATCTCCCTCACCCAACATTTTCTAGCTAAGAGTGGCACGTTTGAATCAGCAAGCCTTACTTTCTTAAAGAAGGAGGGAGGGCCAAGCTCTATACAAGGGCCTTTGGATTTTTAAAATTGCTGCAGGATAGCAAAGTTTTCCCAGAAGGGGTTTGTCTGGAAAGTCCCTCTCTGACCTGCCAACTCTCCCGGCTTGGGAAAGATCCTAGCCAAGCCCAGTTCCTAACTTGCGGTGGATGACTGTGCGCGCGTGCGTGCGGGGTGTGTGTGTGTGTGTGTGTGTGTGGGTGGGTGTGTGTGTGTGGGTGTGTGTTTTGGGGGGAAGGGAATTAAACGACAAAATCCCAAACTCATACAAGTTTCACGTAATTATCATGCAGGCAAAGTCCAGGAGGAAATGTGAACGGACTCCGCAGGTTTCCCATTATCAACATCCGGTAAAATTAAAATCCTAGCTCGGAGAGAAGACAGAACGCTGATAAAATCTGAGCTGCTCAAAGCCAGGGATATCTAGGGTTCACTTAGGAAAGCGGTTTCGGTTTGAGACGGTCGGTCGTTTCTCCTCTAATATCTGACGCTCCTTTTGGTGTTTTACAGACTTGGCCATTCGTGGTCTCGGGACGACCTGATTCTGACACCAAAGAAGTTTCCGCGGCCAGCAGACTGTGTGGAACCACCGCTTAAATCGGACTCGAGCTCACTGGATGGGATTATTCGTTAAACGCGTGTTTGGGGGCCACGGAGAGGAGGGAGACGGCGTGAGATGGGAAGAAGTTTCCATTGGATTCTCCTAGACCCTTTCCCTTCTCCTGGTACTGTGAACACGATGGTGCGTGGCTGTCACCGCAGAGCGCCCCCGGCTACCACTGCCACGGTTCTGGGCGACGCTGTGCCTCTCCAGAAAGAGCCTCTATTTGTGTGGAGAGCGCGGACCAGGATCCAACCTCGGGCTTTAGCTGTGTAGACGAGCCCTCTGCTGCCGTCTGATCCCAGCGCCAAATCGCCTAGGGTCTTAGTTTCCAAGCCAAGCCAGATTGGTCACGTGTGTGGCGGCCCGATTCTGCAGGGCACACAGGCCTTTCGCAGTGGTTAGTGTGCGCTCTCCATCCGCTGTAAAGTCAGAAGTCTGGACGTGAGACCTACGTGGGGCACGGTTTTAAGTTGCGAAGAGGGGAGAATGGCCTGTCTGGGCGAGGTTTGTATCCTAGCCGGCGGGACGATGCCCCTGGCGCACAGGGCGGGGTAGAGTCGCACTTCGGAGACCACCTGAGGCGGGTTTTGCCTGGAGCGCTCCAGGCCATTCAGCCTCCCTGCCTCGGGGTCCTTCCCAAGCTCCAGCCTCTTTCTAATCAGGTTTCAGTCCACCTCCTCCCCTTCTAAGCTCGAGCGTCCCCAGCCCCGCCGCCCCAACCCGGCTCAGGTCTCCTCCAGGCCTCCCACTCCTCCCCCTCCCGCTCCTCCCTGCAGCACCCCCAGGTCCGATTCCAGACTCTCCCCATCAGGCTCCACCGCCAAGGTCTGCTTGTCACCCCCCAACACCATCTCCCCCAGCCACGTTCTTCCCCGCGCGGAGGAACTTGCAGGGTGGGCGGCCGGGGCTGTTCCGCACCGAGGGACCCTGCGAGGGGAAGGTGCTGCACTACCACAGGAAATGTCATATGTAAATAAATTTATTTTTTTATGAATAATAAAACGCATTGTAAAAACTGTGTTACCCTCCCGGGGCGCGTCAAGATGTGGTCTTTGGTGCCCTTTCCTGAGAGGGCCTTGGGTCACTGTGGGTGGAATGGTGGTGATCACTTTTGGATCACTGCATTTCCAAATGTCATTCCTATTAGTCTCCATAATTCTGATTTTTCGCCAGGCAGAGCTTCCTGGAAGGCAATAACTGGAGGCCTAAGAAAGGCCCTGAGAGTCTTTTGAGGCCGGGAATGTGATGAGAGACTTTCACTCCTCACTCTACTGTAGGTGTGCATCTGCCTCTCACACACACACACACACACACACACACTGAACGCCTCCTCCAGCCTAAAACACACTCCAGTGCTTACAACGGCAGGTAGTTCAAGAACCCACCCACCAGAGTCTACGGGTCTCAGGTGTAACTAGCAGAATAAGATCCTAATATATGAAGCCAATTTGTATTTCAACAGTGCTTTTCTTTTTTGAAATGTTTATATAGCATCTTTAATGTCCACTGTCTCATTTTCTGTGTTATATTCTTCCATTTGCACTGCAATGTTTGCAGGAGGTAATAACTTGGAAACCTTATAATATAATTTTTAAGATGCTGATCTTTTAACAAGCAACATTCTCTTTGTAGAACATTTAGAAAAGTATGAAAGATAAAACTACTCAAACAACTACCCAACTTGGAGTTCTGTCCGTTATTTTACAAAACTGAAAGGCAATTTTCTCGACCCGAGAGAGAAAATACAGCTGGAGTTTAGTTAGGAGGTGAGAGGGAGATGGGGAGTGTGACTTCCTGTTTTGAACTAAACCAAACCAAACCAAAACTCTGGAGAGCTGCTCTCTGACAACATTTTCTTGGGCTTTTGTTCATACCCTGGGAGGGTATGAGCCCTAATCCAGTATTAAGCTGCCGGATGCCAGGCTCAGGGTTTACACTGGTCAGTTTCTGTGGCATCAGGCACTTTCTGGCCAAAGGGAACCCAAAGTAACCAGTGGCAGGAAACCCCAGCATGGTCAGAGGCACTTCAGCCATGAGTTTTGGGTTGCCAGCTTCTTGGGGGTGGGGGTGTCTGCTGGAGGCCAGGTCTTTGTCAAGGTCATTTCCAAAGCTTCCAGCAAATTAGGTCTTTTTCCAGGAAAGGAGGCAGCCCAGTATGTTGGTTAAGGAGAACCTGAATGTCTAAAGAACCCAGCTTGAAATCCAAGCTCTGCCATGGGACTAGTGGCCATGTATAAGTTACTTAACCCTTCGAAGCCTCAGTTTCCTTATCTATAGAATGGGGGTCCTGACAGTGCCTATGTGGGAAGATCGCCTTAGGAATAAATACACTAAAGTATTCAAGCAAAACTTCTAGTGTGTAGTGAGCAGCGTGCTAAATGCTGGCTGCTAAAGGAAATTCAGAGGCAGAGGAAAACACTTTGGCAAAGGCAGACACTTGAAACAGGTGGGACATTTTGGGATTCCAGTCTTTAAAATTGGATCTAGTTTTGAGAGGCCTGAATTGCAACTTTGAAAGAAATACCCCACAAGAGTAAGCAAACAGAAATATAGAAAACCAGAAAAATAGCCATTTTATGCACTTGCAGTAAATAAAAATAAGAACAAGCACTACTGAATAAACAAGAAAATAATTTGGACAAAATTTCATAAGTAAAAGGATAATATTTAAAATATGTGTTTCTATATAATTACATTCTTTCAAAGCACTTCAGGAATAAACTCACAGATTTCCTGCTACTACCCACCCCCCATTGAGGTGGTGCTATTCCCTAACTCCTGTGGACACAGAGAATTGTGTTGTACCCTGTAAACTCATTTTAATGGCCACTTTATAACCTATAATTTATAGAGAATAAAAATAAACTTTCTCAAGCATTTGCTACTCCATGTCCAATGCCAAGCATTGTGTTATTATTAATTTAAAAAAGAAGAAAAAGAAGAAGAAAAAAGAGGCCAATTTCTAGTAAGTCCCAGTGAATGAATGGTTGCTGTTGGGAGAGGACTTAAGCACTTTAAACCAGTCTTTTCTTTATCTACCACGACTAGAGTGTGCTCTAAGTGGCAAAAAGGGATCTCAAAGCCTTCCTTTCCACCCTCCCTCCATTTTCCTTTTGGGGATTTGAGTTTGAGGAATGGGAGTTGGGCCTGGGGAACTGGGTGGTGGGGGGATTAAGAGGAGAAGTATGTCTTTAGAGTAACTTTCAATTCAGTTATACTGCTGTGAGAGAAAAGATGAGGAAGAACCAATCTAAGGAATATAATGTAAAATGCACTAAACAGCAAACAAAATGAGTAAATTGAAAAACACTCCTCAGGGGGCTTTTTGAGGGACCATGGCATTATTATTAGTGATAGTGACTCAACCAAAGAGAACAAAAATCCCCTTCTACAGACTCTTCCTAAGATGAATATCTTAAAAGAAATGCTTTCGGGCACTGTAATTTTGAAACATTTAGGCGTTTCTCTCGGTTGTGGAGTCGAATTGATTTTGTGCATATTCTTTTGCACTGGGCTTCAAGTTACAATTTCACTTTAGTCTGCTGGCTCCTTCAACAGATAGCAACAGTGACCCTTGTAATTTACAAACAGATTTTTACAGGCACAGTGTTTTTTTTCCTGGTAATAAATTACTCAAAAAATAAGAATGACATTCCCTGTCCATGAAAAAACAACTAAGTGGAACACATCTTATTTTAATATGTAATAGGTACATAATTTGGCTGATACTTCTGAAAAATATTAAAAATTGAAACGATAACTCAGAGTCACATTTGGAAGGACAAAACCAGGTAAATTCATAACTGACTTCTCACTACCAAGCCTCTAACTTATGGGAAAACCCATTAGGAGGTACCGGATTGGCTCCCGTCCCGTTGTAACCGATCAACCGCCTGCATCTCCCTTCTGTGGTAGCTTCTGCATACCCACCCGTGGGCAACCCAGGGTGTTTGCATCTTTGCGCTCACCACTCTCCATTCATCTCCTTCTGTATTCTGTTTACCTTTTGTATTATTTTTGTTCTTTTTCCCACAACAATCAAAATTGATCCAGAGAAATCCTTCAAACCCATGACTCTAAGAAGGTCCAGAATGTAGCCAGAGCCAGAAATACACATGTAATCATGTAACTTAGGTGCTAATTATCTCAAACCATCTCAGCTTTCTTCCTTGCTGGTTCTGCTGTCGCCATGATAGCTCTGGACCAGCCCGGGGTCCTGCATTGCTTGTGGTAAAGAGGGTCACGGAGCAATTATGAGCATTTGGTAAAAATAAGGTATTTGTATCGACTATCACTACCTTTTAGCAGTGTAATGGGAGGTAAGTGGCGAACAAGGAGCAAGAAGCTTTTACCTTTTTTTTGTTTGTTTAAAAAGCTTATATGGTTTTTTCGGAATTTATTAAAAAACCCTTTCTTAAAAAAAGTTTACAAGCTTCGAGGTCAGATGTAGCTGGCTCTAGTCCCACATTTCCTGGCTCTGCATCCTCATGCACCTTTCCTCTCTTCTGCGAGGCAGGAATAATATATCCAACCTCACTGACTATTTTGAGAATGGATTCAATGAGATAATCTTTTTAAGCACTTGGGAAATGCTCCATACATGCTATTTTTTTTTCCAAAAACAAAGCCTTGATTTTCTTTCCTTTTCTCCTATGATAGTTTAGGTGTCCTTTATCCTCGTCTTGTCTTATTATTCCCTTTGCCACTTGTATCACCTTGCTCTTTTATGCCACATCTAGTTTCTCTATACTGACTTCTCTTTTTTTGTCACTAAGAAAAAATTTTTATTTAGTTTCCTTTTTTTTGAGACAGAGTCTCGGTCTGTCACCCAGCTAGAGTGCAGCGGCATCATCACAGCTCACTGCAACAGCCAGCTCCTGGTCTCAAGCGATCCTCCTGCCTCAGCTTCCCTAGAAGCTGGGACTACAGGCTCACACCATTGTGCACAGGTGATTTTTCTATTTTTTGTGGAGACGAGGTCTCGCTCTTGCTCAGGCTGATCTCAAACTTCTGACCTCAAGCGATCCACCTGCCTCGGCCTCCCAAAGTGTTAGTATTACAAGCATGAGCTGCTATGCCTGGCCATTTGGTTTCCTTTTGAAAATAAAGATCACAATACTCAGCATCAAATTATGCATGAGATTAAAAAAAACTCTCATTTCAGAGTGCAAAACTGACCAATGGATTCTTAAAATCCATCGATTTTTTTTCTAGTTTTAATTATTATGAATCCATAATAGTTGTACATGTTTATAGTACATGTGATATTTTGATATATGCATACAATTTGTAATGATCAAATCAGGGTAATCAGGGTATCCATCACCTCAAGCATTTATCATTTCTTTGCATTAGGAGCATTCCAATTCCACTCTTTTAGTTATTTTGAAATACACAATAAATTAGTGTTAACTCTAATTGCCCTATTGTGCTTCCAAACACAAGGTTTTATTCCTTCTATCTAACTATATTTTTGTACCCATTAACCAACCCCTCTCTGTCCCCTCCACTACCCTTCCCAGCCTCTGGTAACCATCATTCTACTCTCTGTCTCCATGAGTTCAATTTTTTTTTTAACTCCTACATATTAGTGAGAACAATGGATAAAGAAATGTGGTACACACACACAATGGAATATTATTCAGCCATAAATAAGAAATGAAATGCTGTCATTTGCAACAACATGGATGGAACGGGAAGGCATTATGTTAAGTGAAATATACTAGACCAGT